GAGGAGGCTAGGCGCCTAACGCGGGCTTTTTGGATTGCAGTGTTGTTCTTGTGGTTTTCTAGGCACCTGAAAGTTAGGCATCACAGCGCTCAGTGTTACAACACCTAAGTACCTTTGTGGATCCCACCCTAAGTGATTTGCCTAAGGTCACACAGTGAGACAGTTGGCTGGATAGAATCTGACCTGGTTCTAACCCTGTGTATTTCACTCTGTATTGGTATGTGCTCTGTTTTAGAGGTGATGAGGGCCTACTTGCAACAGCTGAGACAAGAAACAGGTCTTAGGCTTTGCGAAAAGGTGTTTGATCCCCAAAGTGACAAGCCTAGCAAGGTAAGATGCCGTCCTCAATGACTGGGTGATTATTTATCCCAATTACAGGCTGTTTTTCTTTTCTGATTGGTGGATGCTTGAGGCATGCTCCTTCTTAAAAATGTTAACTCCAGAAATAATGTAGTAAATCGTGTCAAACATGGCTTGGTTTGCTATTTAAAAGGTGTGTCAGGTGTAGACCAAGGAGTTGAAAGGATAGCTATGGAATGCGGTAGGGCAACAAAGAGGAAAAAGGAAAAACAACAGGGAGAGATGGGGGAGAACCTGTTAAGCAAGAATCCTGAGACTTAAAGGGATAGTGGAATAGTGAAAAGCGATTTAGACAAACATCTGTAATGTGATATGGCAGCAAATGCCATTTAGGTTGCATAGGTAGAGGCATCCTGTTAAAGAGCAGGGCTGTAACAGTCCCCACTTGTTGGTCCAATCCTATGAAGTCGTGAGCACCTCCTGGGAGCTGAGAACCCTCAATTCCTTGCACTGAATTCAGCAGGCATTTAGAATACTCAGCATCATTCAAGTTGGGTCTGATATGATCACTCCTATTTGGGAAAGCCCTTTGCTACAGATATGAGTAGCAAAAATATCTAATTGATACATCAGTTCCTAACTGGCTAGGTAGACATTTGCACATAAGTAAGAGTAACTTTACAATGATTAAGCCAATTTATTTTGTAGAATTATTGCCTACAAGTCACTGAGGACTCAGCTACATACCATATCCACAGTCTTGAGTTCATCTGCTTTTGAGTCAAGTGCAAGAGAATAAATTTTTTAAGTAGATATTGTGTGGGTTTTTTTATGTTCACTTAATTCAAAAGTGACTGAAATGACTTCTTAAATGTTTGTAAAAAAAGTTGGACTGAGATCAAGAATGAGACCCTTAATCCGTTTGTTTTTTTATAACCAATGGAAAATAAAAGCTTAGATCGGAATGATCACCTCAGCCTTAACTATGAGTCTGGTACTGCAACCTTATTCTACAGTGTCTTGACTTAATCCACACTTTGGGTCTAATCCTGCCTTCCCTGCACACCTAAAATTCCAGTCGAAGCCAGTGGAGAAAATTGGATGTGCAACTAATGCAGGATCAGGTCCATTACATCTGAGTTGGTTTTAAATCCTATTTTGTTTTGCCTCAAATGTCTTTCCTGGAAATTGCTACAGTATATCTTCTGATCCCACTGTATTTCTTTCCCTCAGTGGTGGATCTGCTTCGTGAAGAGGCAGTTCATGAATAAGAGTCTGTCAGGACCTGGGCAATGAAGAGGCAATGAGATACAGTCACAATGTTAAGCATTTTGCAGCAAGATGTATAAATATTCTGCCTTTGTTTCATATACATTTTATACCAAGGAAGAATAAGTGCTTATGAGGAAAAGCTGTCAATCTGCGGGGGAAGATGGAACAGAAAGCCATTTGAATACTGTACACAAATGATGTTAAGCTGGTGCTTAATAAAAAATTATTTCTAACATGCTGTTTCAGATCAATGCTGCTTTATTTATTGGTGGGTACGTATAAAATAAGATTTGACTTAAGCCTAAAGAGAGATGTGTAATGGAGCATCTAAGTACTCTACTGGATAGAGTACTGATATCTTTGTCCCTGGACAATAGGCCACTCATGTTGTATTGTAAAGCACAGTGAATTTTACTGTATCAATAAACTTAGCTTACATTTCAAGTGGTAACTGCTTTATCTCTTATGTATGTAGATAGCTTTAACAAAAATCAACACTTTATTTATATAGCAGTAGTGCCTAGAGACCCAAATGGAGATGGGGGCTCCATTATGCTAGGCACTGTACAGACTCATAGTCAGAAATGTTCTCTGGCCTGAAGAGCTCACAATGTAAATAGACGAGACACCTATGGGGTAAGAGGGGAAAGAAGCACAGGTGGGTGAAGTGACTTGCCCAAGGTCATGTAGGAAGTCCGTAGTGGAGCAGGAAGTAGAATCCCAGGGTGAAATCCTGACTCCAGGGAATGAGGCCAGAATGTCACCCTGCATTCTAGTCCAGTACCTTAGGCACCAGTCCATGCTACTTCTCACTCTAGAATGCCAGCCTTGCATTGAGAAGTCTCTCTTCTTGATTGGAAACAAAATTAAAGATACATGGGGCCAGATCCTGAAGTTTGTTCAGGCTACACTCCCTTTGATGAGACTTTTGCCTAAGTAAAAACGATAATACGTTGCTAGAATGATTACTGTGTCTATAATATCACCCTGTGGAACAAGGTGTAATTCTAATATGGACTGCAAGCTGTCACAGTGACTAGAAAGGTGCATTATAGTAACTGGTGATATAGATGTGGAATTCGATTTGATGTTAAAGGGACATTTTACATGGCAGCCACGTGTTGTGTGTCTCTCTCAGTTCCCCTCTCCTCTTCAATATACACATGCCCCTTCCTCCATGTCTGCTGGAATGCCCCACATCTGGCAGGGCTGCAGGAAATCCCCTCCACCCTCAAAGGATCTCCTCTTTGCCACCAGGGTGCTGCTGTGGCAAAAGAATTGCAGGTCTCCAAGCTTAGCATGGGGTATCTGGGTGGTGGGGAGGAGTTGGCTGGCTGACTACATTTGGTATCCTACTGGAAGGAACAGGGAGGGGCAGGTTATGGAAGGGTGAGGGTACAGCACAAGGAGCTGAATGGTTGGGACACATGCATAGGTTGGAAAGGGAATTTGGAAGGGGACAGGGAGAGCTAATGAGAAACAGGAGCACAGTAGAGGAGTCTGCTTCACGATCTCCTGACGCTCCTACCCCCTCACACCACCCTAGGTTCAATTCAGTCTCCTTGGCTCTCCTCTGCCCTCTCACTGTTTCTGAGGGCTAGAGTGGAGTGCATAAGTTCGTGGTTTGACTGTGTACATGTGGAACATGAGGGGAAATAGACTTGTTCACACTAGGTGCAGGGGTTCTCAAACTGGATCAGGACCTCAAAGTGGGGTCGCCAAGGCTGGTGTTGGCCCTGGGCCCCAGGGAGGAGCGTTGCCCCCCAAACTGCGAGCCTTAAGCAGGCATGGAAGTTGCCCCCCCCCCACGCATGACCCCATTAGTCTGACTGGAGCTGCCCCACCCCGAAATATGAAAGTAAAACCTGAAGCTGTGCAAAACTTAGCTGCTCTGCCTAGAAGGTAGGTCAGGCCCAACAATTTAGTTTGAAGGAGAGAAGAAGAGATGTTCTGAATATTTATTTAAAAAGAGCCAACAAACAAACAGTTTTTAAACCTACAGCTTGAGGAGCAAAGCCTTAATAGGGACTCAGCAGCCTCTCAGCATTAATCCTAAATCTCAGCCTGATTGATGAGACTGTTCATCTAAGGACTGCAGGATCAAACCCATACTGTATAAAGGGAAGAAATACAAAAACTTGAAAATACGGTTGTTAGAATATTATGAAAAGCATGCTTCATTTTAAAAGAAAGAAACCGTTTATATTTTTTGGAGTACCATCTGAGATGCCTGCACCTAATTTGTTCTCCTACAGAATTGTCCTTTTCTTATGTGGTAACATCGCACTTACTTCCCCCCCACACATTGAGTAAAATGAACATGTGACTTTAACAACTTCTTCATCTCCAAGTGTAGCATACATTAATCCTGCATTCCTTACAGATCCGGCTCGCTGACTTCAGAGGGAGTTGTGGCTACAGAACGAACAGAATAAGGCTGATAATATTGTACTGTTTTTTCTGTGGTAAGCGTACAAAAATTTTTGCACGGGAGGCCACAATAATGCACAACGGAGCAAAAGGGGAGAAAAACCAACAAACGCCGCGAACCGCACCAGGGAGCGGGTTTCGGGACCGAACGCGAAGCCGACCCGTGTGTGAACCATGGCACCACAGTCACCCTGACGTTACTTCGTGGTTAATTTGCTACAACACCCACTGCCCATCGATACCGTAACAGCGAGGCCGCTGCACGGGGCCCGCCCAGGGCACCAGGGGCCCGCTCCACCCCTTCCACAGCGACCGAGCCCCACAACCGGCCCGCGCGCCCACCGCTCGCGGCGCCTCGGCAACACGAGGCCCCGACTGGCCGAGACAGCCGCTGCGCATGCGTAGAGTGTGTTTCAGCTGCGGGGGCGACTATTTTGGTGCCTGCTGGAACATGTCATCGCTTTGTGTCCTATACCTTCAGCGGCAGCGATTTTAATGGTGGAGGAGCGGCGAGGCTGGCACCTGGGCGGATTTCCGTGGGGTCCCGACGGAGAGGTTTTTAAACTGAGGCGTGAGGGAAGGCCAGCTAGAGCGGTATGATGGACTCCTGCCTGCGAGGACCCCTAGGCGCCGCCATTTTGGAGTCGCCGCGGGCTGAGGAGCCGCTGTCTCTTCCGACCCCAGCCCCGGCCCCGGCCGGCGCCCCGCGTTCCACTCCGGCCTCCAGGATGAGCGTGGTGGAGCATGTGCGGGAGATGGCGGCTGCCGGGCTCCACTCCAACGTGCGGCTCCTCAGCGGGCTCCTGCTCACCATGAGCGGCAACAACCCGTGCGTGCCGCCGGCAGGGGGCTCTGTGGGGGCGGCAAGAGACCGGGGCTTTGGGGCTGAGGCCAGGGCGCTCCTGGCGTGGCGTGGGGGGCGGCTCGGGGGTTGACGCAGGAGGCTGGGGGGTTCTGTGGGGTGACCGGGGGCAGGGGGATGAAATAAGGAGCTGAGCGCTTCGTGGGGCCCTGCGGGAGCCCCCGTGGGAAAAGGTCCTGGGGGAGCAGATCGGGGCTGCAGCTGCTTGTGGTCTGTACCTGGCTCTGCCATAAGGCTTGCTGTGGGATCATTAGCAGGCCCCGTCGTTTCTCGCCGTCGCAGTTCCCCGCTGTGTAAAAGGCGACCAGCAATGTATAAGTAGGGGCATAGCGAGCAGATCGAGGGACGTGATCGTTCCCCTCTATTCGACATTGGTGAGGCCTCATCTGGAGTACTGTGTCCAGTTTTGGGCCCCACACTTCAAGAAGGATGTGGATAAATTGGAGAGAGTCCAGCGAAGGGCAACAAAAATGATTAGGGGTCTGGAACACATGAGTTATGAGGAGAGGCTGAGGGAGCTGGGATTGTTTAGCCTGCAGAAGAGAAGAATGAGGGGGGATTTGATAGCTGCTTTCAACTACCTGAAAGGGGGTTCCAAGGAGGATGGCTCTAGACTGTTCTCAATGGTAGCAGATGACAGAACGAGGAGTAATGGTCTCAAGCTGCAGTGGGGGAGGTTTAGGTTGGATATTAGGAAAAACTTTTTCACTAAGAGGGTGGTGAAACACTGGAATGCGTTACCTAGGGAGGTGGTAGAATCTCCTTCCTTAGAGGTTTTTAAGGTCAGGCTTGACAAAGCCCTGGCTGGGATGATTTAACTGGGAATTGGTCCTGCTTCGAGCAGGGGGGTTGGACTAGATGACCTTCTGGGGTCCCTTCCAACCCTTATATTCTATGATTCTATGCTCCGGGATGAGGCACGCTGAGGTGTGCGTATGAAAAGCCCTATAGATGCTAAGAGTTTCAGCTTCCCAGGCGGGGCAATCGAGAGACAAGGTGACTTGCCCGTCACTTTCTGATGGATCATCCCTGAGGATCTGCCACCCACCTCATTCTCCTCCTGTTGACAGTGATGATAGCGGACATAGCGTCTTTCAGCACTTAAGCTACAGTGCATCGTTCGTGTTCAGTGTAGTTTGTGAATCATAATTGTTACTGACAAAAATTAAAATACGGTCCTAAAACTGAGTTCTTGGCTCTCAAATCTGCCTGTTGCAGAGGGTGGTTAACAACAGTTCCCATTGTAAGGTCTTAACAGATGATCAACAACTATCCAACAGATGTTCTAATTGGGGCTACTGTGTTTAAAATGGAACTTGCTTGTAGTTGTGCTTATCTTTTAAGGGTACAAATATTGCACTCTTAGTTCTTCCAGATTTCAGGCACAGCTAGGGGATTTAATCACTAATACTGAAAATATAGCATTTAACACTTTTGCTCCTATTATGTAATCAGCCAGTTTAAGCTTATATCTTTTTTTAATCTCTTCTAGTGAGTTATTCTCGCCATCACAAAAGTACCAGCTTCTTGTATATCATGCAGATTCCCTCTTCCATGACAAGGAATATAGGAATGCTGTAAGTAAGTATACAATGGCCTTGCAGCAGAAGAAAGCATTAAGTAAAACTTCAAAAGTAAGACCCTCTACTGGGAATGCTGCAGCCACTCCACAAAGTCAGGTATTTGGAACTAGAGTAACATACTGCATATAACTCTTATTCTCCCTGTAAAATGAAGTATTGGTGAATTAATTTTGTAGCGGTGGACTACAAAATTACCACAACAAAGAAGCCTGAATTTTGTGGCTATTTAATTTTGAAAATGTGTCTGACCGCTACTTTCTAATGAAAAACTTAACTTGGTCTCAAATGTCAGAGAGAATGCCCATTTAATTTGTAGTTTTCATTAACAAGAGAGAAAATAGTCTGCATTATAAAAGTACAACCTACTGTCATCTTTACATTTTATATCTTGACTTTGTTAATGGAAATACAAGCCTTTCATAAGATTTTAGTAATTTAGACTCTGGTTTTTATTTAGTTAGAACAACATTTGAGAGAGATTACATTTTAGTGATCAATTTTATTTTAGTGTCTGCCATCTGAAATTGAAGTGAAATACAAGATGGCTGAATGCTACACAATGTTGAAGCAAGATAAAGATGCTATTGCTATACTAGATGGAATTCCTTCAAGACAGAGAACCCCCAAGGTAGGTTCTGGAATTGATTTGTGGCAAACAGTAGTTTAGGTGTTTTTGAAGTTATATAATCATATTTGCTCAAGAATGAAGATGTAGTATATAGCGGTAAAACGATTCAACCTTGACATTTGTGCTTATAGTATTTAAATGAGTTATTTGGAAACACTGGCTAAACACTTCTAAATTATCTGAGTTTAGTAAGCATATCTTCTTTAAAACCAGGTAGTCTCTAAATGGAGTTTCTTTGTTTGAAAGATTTCACCAAACAAATGGGAGCTAAATGTTTTTGGATGTCTTTAACAGGTAATTTCTGTGAAAATTACCTGGGCAATTTTATTAATGCTAGTGGGAATTACAAAATCTTCCCTATGCGTGAGGAACAATAGACACCTTGACATGTGCTGATAAGCTATTGAGAGCATGTATACGTAACCTATTTAGGATTGAATTCTCTGTTAGCTATGCAAAATTCTACTCTCCCCAGCTGACTACTCTGAGGTTTTTGGAAGGTCGCAGAACTAGTTTTTATAATTCTGGGAAAGAGTAGCTGCTGCTCTAGACAAAAGTGATAAAAATGCCTTAGCTCTGACTATGCTAATACTCCCACCGGTGCTACCACCAGAGGTAGTAAAACAATGGACGGTTCTTGAAAACGGTCCCCTTGTATTGTCACTCTACCAATGGGAGTCTCTTAAGAGAGAACTCTTTTTTTCCTTAAGATTCTTCTCACACTTTTTAATTATTTACATAGTGCTAATGTTTAGGACACTTAGTATTTTTGGCACTGAATACTACTGAGACTTTGCTTGCTGGTTCTGTCATCTAGGTAATCTCTTAGGCCGTTTACACGTCATGCATAACAACTTGCATGTTAGCAGCATCCCATCTTGGCCAGCGAGTGGTAACCGCAAGGTGTTCTACCTTTAGCAAGGCTTGCTGTACAGAAAAGGAAGAAAATTGAGGAAAAGAAAAGCAGCCTTCTACTCCTGCAAACCAATAAACCAAAAATGCTTAAGCACTAGAACAGCTAGCTGCATTGAGGGGGGAAGCTTGCTCAAGCCACTTCTGCCCTTTCATGAGCTGTGAATTCAGTCAGAATCTAAATGCAAACCTACTCTTCACCTCCCAAATACAAGTGCTCTGGTAGACTTCCACTGGTATGTGGAGAGAGCAAGTAAAAGGAAGCGATAAGGTAATATATAGGCCTTTGCAGACATCACTTCTACTTACGTAAACACTTGCCCATCTTTTGAATGAGTGTTCATAAACCATTTTGAGATTCCCAGAGGCACTACACTAGTGTATAATATTAGGATATCTCCACTTTTCTGTATTCTGAATCAGAAATGAGAAACACTTATTTTATAGGAGTTGATGACTTAAGAAGCAGGGCTCATAACTATTCTCTGTACAGAGAGCTGGGAAGATGGGGCTATGCTTGATAACGAAAACATGACTTTTTGGTGAGGAACTCTGCTTTTAATAACTCTTGATTGGATTGTTCTCACAATCAGATTTTTTTGATTACAGATTAACATGATGTTGGCAAATTTGTACAAGAAGGCAGGTCAAGAACGCTCATCTGTTACCAGTTACAAAGAAGTGCTGAGACAGTGTCCATTAGCACTCGATGCCATACTAGGTAGAGACTTTTTCCCCACCAAGTATCTAATATTAAAAATTACATCTAGCAACATTATCACTAAAATATGAGATATGTAAGACATATTAGTAAACTAGCTCATTTGCATATAGTACAGACTGCATGCAATCTACAAGTTGTACAGGAGCATTGTAGCTAACTGCCTGTATAAATTCAAAGGCATGGGATTCTCTGTTTTTAGACATTTTAACGAATTTGTATGACACTGTATTGGATACTTGGATTTGACTAGTGTATTTTTCTGAATAGGTTTGCTGTCACTTTCAGTAAAAGGGGCAGAAGTGGCTTCCATGACGATGAATGTTATTCAGAGCATCCCTAACTTGGACTGGCTTTCAGTGTGGATCAAAGCATATGCATTTGTGCACACTGGAGATAATACTAGAGCAATCAACACCATCTGGTAAGAATCAAGGTGAATTAAATTACTGTTCCTGAGTCACTACTTCACATAGTGTTGTGATAGATTTAAACATGCTGCTTGGCACAGCATGATGCCTATTTTGTGCTGTTTGAGGACCATGCAGTTGATCTGTAAACATTGCTTGGATTTTGTCAGATGCTGAACATAATATTAAAGATTTTTTCCTGATTGAGGAAAAATCTTGATTTGGAAAACTTGAAAGCGTAACAATATTTTTAGACTTGCTATCCATTTTTATGATAAATGTTAAGGTTCTGACAAACTTAAAAAATCATGACATTTTTCCGTACTGGTCTTGGATTGTACCACAGCATATAAATTAAATAATGTCTGAGATATGTGCAAGATCTGGGTATTCTGTGAAGAAAGCCCCAGTTAAAGTAAATAGTTCTGCAAAGGCTATACACACTTTCATGGGGAAGAGAAGGTACCTTGAGTCTCCTTAGAGCAGAGTGCTTAATTTTAAAATACGAACTTGTTTTAATTTACAGGATTGAAAAGAAGCTTCTTAAATTACAATCTTTTTGTAACTGAAAACACCAGTGCAGCTACTTTTGAAAACTGACTGCTGGAAACTAGTTTTAAAGTTTTTGTGACTTAACTATACATTTCTAGAACTTGAATGGAAACTGAGAACCCCATGATGATGCTGTGCTGTTGGTACAATTTCTTTGCTCAGATGCTCTTATAAAAGCTACAAGTTTCAGTCAGTGCAGATAAACTTAACTAGGGCATTACATTTAAAAAAACATATTTCCTTTCGGATGTCGGTTGCATTGTGCTTTACTTGAAGCTGTGTTTGAAGTCCAGCTGATATAGATTCCTAGTGCCTATCTCCTAAATGATCATTGCCTGGGGTTAATGGTGTGAACTAGCTACCTTGCTTGTGGGTGCAGCTCGACTTGCTGGTGATTATCTGTAAAGCCCTGGATGGGTCTAAGACCTCACCCCCCTGCCCAGTTTATCATGCCAGGGAAGATTATCTAGGGTGCAGCTATTAATTTCTGGCATCAAACTTCGGGGCTGGCAGCAAGATATCTTCAGTACAGGGTCCTTGCTTAAGAACTCTCTCGCTCTCCCAGTTTGGCAGCCTTCAAGGAACAATGTAAGTTGTATGTATGTCATCAAGTAGTTTTTTGGATGAATGTTCAAATGGTGGGTGTGTGGTCACTCAGTAAAGAGTGATACCACATTTTGTGGTAACTGTAGGTCTTTAAATGAATGACATTTTAAAATCATAATTTTACAGGTGTATTTGAGAAATAATTTACAGGTTCCAAAGAGTGTTTTAGCATTCAACCAGTACATAACAAGATGCTAGTTTAAATGGCATTTCTTTTCTCTTAAAGCTCGTTAGAGAAAAAGTCTTTACTGAGGGATAATGTGGATCTATTGGGTAGCTTAGCAGACCTGTATTTCCGAGCTGGAGATAATAAAAACTCGATTCTGAAATTTGAGCAGGCACAAATGCTGGATCCTTATCTGATAAAAGGTAGGTAATTGTAAATTCTCAAAGTTACCCCAGCATGCTAAACCCTTGATTGTCACTAGCACAGCAGGTGCATCCAGTTCACATTCCACTAAAGACTTAACAGCTACATAAATATTTATCAGCACAGCAGGTGCATAGTTTCTGTCCATACCCAGAAGCAGTTGGTGGCAGTCATAGTAGAAGTTTGTCTTACATCTCGTTAAAAATTACAGTACTTCAAGAAGTTAGTATAGCTGTACATCAGGCTTTCCAAAGAGGAACATAGTACTAATTTAGTTTAAGAAGCTTGTGTGTTCTGTTTTTCCTTCTAAATGAACTATGTCTTCATTGTAAGGTGTCTAGAATTCTTCATGCTCTCATTTTATACCTGTTTTTCTTGATTCCTCCTCCACCTTTATGGTGAAAGTGCAGAGTCTGGTGCTCAAACTTAGTCCCAGAGCATGTATGATCTAAGAGTAGCTATGATACAAGTGCTGTGAAATCACTGGCCCTTATGGTCAAGTTCCGTTATGACCTTAAATCTTCATAAAGCTTTTAAGTTTCATAATTAGGAGCTCAGCAATAATACAACTGATCCCAAAGTATTTCATTTTTAGGAATGGACGTATATGGCTACTTACTGGCACGTGATGGTCGACTGGAGGATGTGGAGAACTTGGGCTGCCGTCTTTTCAATATTTCTGATCAGCATGCAGAACCGTGGGTGGTGTCAGGGTAACTTCCACTTACTTTTCACTTCCTCGCATCCCTGGGCTCCTTAGCTAACCTGTGTTAGGAGCTTGAACGTGTTTGGGGCAATGTGTTCAGGTTTCATTAGTTTGGAAGCTGTACTTATTTTGTGAGTCTGCTGTTCTGTTTAAACATTTAGTTCTTGGTCTAACTTTAAAATATCTTGCTAGAAATACATATTACATTTTTCAATCCTTTTCTGGCTGTAGTTAAACACTTTGGAGTTGTTGGGTCTATCAGATAACCAATGTTGCTGTAACTAAGTACCTGAATCACCAATTTTGTTAAAGGCTAATAAGCATCCTATTTTGTTAATATCTTTTAAAGTAACTTTGCATACTGTCAGGTTTCAGAGGAACAGCCGTGTTAGTCTGTATTCGCAAAAGGAAAGGAGTACTTGTGGCACCTTAGAGACTAACCAATTTATTTGAGCATGAGCTTTCGTGAGCTACAGCTCACTTCATCAGATGTTTACCGTGGAAACTGCAGCAGACTTTATATACACACAGAGAATATGAAACAATACCTCCTCCCACCCCACTGTCCTGCTGGTAATAGCTTATCTAAAGTGATCAACAGGATCATACTGTAAATCCATCAGTTCCTTTTCTTTTCAGCTTTCCATGAATGACTTTTGGTAGTGCACACTTACCACCATTGCTCTTCTTTTTGTAGGTGTCACAGTTTCTACAGTAAGCGATACTCCCGGGCCTTGTATTTAGGAGCCAAAGCTATTCAGCTGAATAGTAATAGTGTTCAAGCTTTGCTGCTGAAAGGGGCTGCTCTTAGAAATATGGGACGAGTACAAGAGGCAATTATACATTTCCGAGAAGCAATACGCCTTGCACCTTGCAGGCTTGACTGTTATGAAGGCAAGTAAAGTACAATGACTATTGTATACAACTTTGATAGGGCTCTGGTGTACGATGTTGTCATGGTATAGGAAGAGTATAAATTGCCTCCCAGAGTTCCCTGCAGGTGAAGTAATATTGCTTATTACCTAGTAGGTTAATTAATTATATTGAAAAACCCACTAAATAGAGCTGGAAATAGGGAGAAGAGGGGGAAATATTAGACATTAAACGCGTGCTTGTTAAACAAAAATAGCTGAATTTGATGTACTGAGAAGCATGCTTATTAAATTCTGATAGAGTCCCTGTACACAGATTATTAGTGTGCCAGTGTATAAATATTTTCTTCTTTTTGGTCTTCAGGTCTCATTGATTGTTATCTGGCATCCAACAGTATCCGTGAAGCAATGGTTATGGCTAACAATGTGTACAAAACCCTGGGAGCAAATGCACAGACGCTTACTCTGTTAGCAACAGTCTGTCTTGAAGATCCAGTCACACAAGAGAAAGCAAAAACCTTATTAGATAAGGCACTGACACAGAGACCAGATTACATTAAAGCTGTGGTAAAAAAAGCGGAGCTTCTTAGTAAGTTTTTTTTTTTTCTTTTGAGATGTCTCTTCCTTGTCCAGTTTATTTGAATAATTTCTTACATGAAAGTGAGTGTTCCACAAAGTCGCTAATATGAAAAACACTATACAAATGTTACAGCCAAAGACTAATCAGTTCTGTGTAAAAGAGAAATCACAGGATGCCATAAGATATGAATTGCTTAGATATTACCATGATTGGCCCTATAGTAATACTTCAGATGGAAGAAATTATAACTTGCTAATTATTTAAGAGATGATCATGTGTGCATTGATTTGGTTTAAAATATAACACTAAGAGCAAGAACTACGTTTTAGAAGATTTAATCATCACCAACTGCAGATGGTTTTAGGAATAAAGATGAAGATTGTGATTAGTGTATTACATATTAAAGTTATTTTGTGGAAGATCTATCTAAACCATTAATAGAGCTGTAGCTCTGCGTGTCAACAGGTAGAGAACAGAAATATGAAGATGGAATAGCTTTGTTGAGGAATGCACTGGCCAATCAGAGTGACTGTGTTCTGCATCGAATACTGGGTGACTTTCTTGTAGCAGTCAGTGAATATCAAGAAGCCATGGACCAGTACAGTATTGCCCTAAGGTAAAACTTGTAGACACTTGAGTTTGCTGTATGCTTCTTAGAAACTAAAAATTGCATGGCTGCTGAAAGATGGCTTAGTGGCACATCTTCAGTCACTTTTGTGTGGGGGGCAGTGGTTAGTTTGTTTGATTTCCCCGCCCCACCCCCCACCCCCGCACATACACTCTTATCAGTGAATTTGGGATTGTCTACAGTGGCACAACTGCACTGCTCTAGCTGTACTGTTGTAGTACTTCAGTGTAGACACTACCGATGCTGACATGTGAGGGGTTCTTCAATCAGCTTACCACTGTCTACACAGGGATTAGGTCAGCTTAACTACGCCGCTCAGGGCTGTGCATTTTTCACACCACCTGAGGAATATAGTTAAGACAACTTGATTTTTCTAGTGGAGACCATGTCTTACTCTTTGTGTCTTATGTAATGCAATTCCCAATTCAAAGTCTCAAGGACAAAAATTTACAATCGTAAACTTGTGTTAATGTTAAGTATGTTATCAGGCAGTCAATTGCTAGACCAATAAGAAGGATTAAGGCATGGATTTGTTTATAATTTCTTAAACTGTTCTATACTCTGTCAGGCACCTTGGGCTCCACCTTTAGGCTGGAAGGTGCTATATAAATGTAAGGGATTAACTAAGTTCAAATGGAAAGGTTTTGAATTCAACTGAATCAACGTTTCTTCTTACAATAAAACGGGTCCCTCAAACTCAAATAGAAAAGAATTATTTCAAACTTGGGTAAAATTTAGCATGTTTCAGAATAAGATGCCATATTTCCTAATAAAAAATCTTATGTTCTCTGTATTTTTAAAAGATAAATACCTATCTTGACTGCAAGACCTTGTTATACACACAGTAAACTGTAAGGTCTGGTAGGCTGGCTATTTTTGCCTGGATGGAGGTGGGGGAAACAGTGTTTTTAGTGCTAGTCGCTTAAATTGCATTTATCTGTCTTCTGCTGCTTTAGTTAGTGTTTCCTAGAAGAATTGTGTAAGCTTCGTTGGGAGGCTCATGGAGTTCAGACAAGTGCATTCTCAAAGGTTAGGAATTTGTATATAGATGATGTAATTGGTGTTAATTGTGCGCTTTCATCTTTTGTCAAATGGTTATTACGTCAGTCTGAGGTAAAGTTGCAACATCTTTGAGTTTAAATATCAGTAGCAGTAAACAGGAAGTGGGGGAAGCAAGATGGAGATGTTTTGATTAGACATATTTCTAATGTTTGGGTTTCAGAGTAGCAGCCGTGTTAGTCTGTATTCGCAAAAAGAAAAGGAGTACTTGTGGTATCTTAGAGACTAACCAATTTATTTGAGCATAAGCTTTCGTGAGCATCCGATGAAGTGAGCTGTAGCTCACAAAAGCTTACGCTCAAATAAATTGGTTAGTCTCTAAGGTGCCACAAGTACTCCTTTTCTTTTTTCTAATGTTTACTGCCTTAAGTTTGATGTAATCCTTTTTTCTCCCCCAGCTTGGATCCCAATGATCAGAAGTCTTTAGAAGGAATGCAGAAAATGGAAAAAGAGGAGAGTCCAACAGATGCAACCCAGGAGGAGGATGTGGATGACATGGAGGGAAGTGGAGAAGAAGGGGATTTGGAGGGCAGTGATAGTGAAGCCGCACAGTGGGCAGATCAAGAACAATGGTTTGGCATGCAGTGAAGATTTTACTTAAACTGATATGGGTTTCAGTTCTTGAATGTGCCATGTTCTCTGTTCTCTGAAGGAAGAACGTCACCTGCAATTTTTGTATTAACAAAGTGGACTTTATAAAACAACCGACTCTGAAACCATTTGATAGTTCTCTGCATCACAGTTCTGTTAATTTTTGTGATGCTTCCTATTTATCAATTACAAGATTGAGCTGAACTATGCTGGAGATTATTTGTAAGAGTCGTTTAGTCTTTTCTTGCTAAAGCTAGGATCTTGAATATAAAGCATTTCATATAATATACCTATTGCTAGTGACTAAAATGTCAAAATTGGGTTCAAAACTAAGTAGTCTTGATCCTTAGCTATAGATGTAAATACAAGAGTTTTTTATTCCTTTGTGAAAGGCTTTATTCTTTTGTCTGGGCTCGTGCATGATTTCTTGCAGAAGCTTGTAGGAGTCACTTGTATGTATTTGAAAGGAGCAATTTTTCCTCTCTCTTCAGCCAATTAACCTGTTTGGTGTAAGGCATTGCACTAACTTTAAAGGTGGAATTTTATCTCCGGCAACCTTGACTTATAGGATACTTTGTAACTAATCAGTTTCTATGTACGAAGAATAGTACGATGTTAGAATTATAGTAATTTCCCCAATCCATACAAAGCCCTATAATTACTTAGCCTATATGTGAACATTTTCTTCTAAATAGAGTTCAGTTTTATTTAGGTAAGTTACTAAAAGGCATTACAGCAGTAGTGACATAAAGCCGCTTCATATCCTGTGTGTGGCACTGTCAGTTTAAAAAAAATTAACTTCTCCATTGCATCACTAGTAGAAATTTTAAATTAGAATGGCTGTCTTGGCTTTCTTTATATTTTACACGTACAATTTAGCTTTACCTATTGAAAATAGAATCTCGTGCTATCACCTACTAAAACTATAGTGAATTGTCCACGGTAGAAATTCTCACAGTGGGCATCTCTTATTAAAAGTAAATCTTTCACTGAAACCAGAAAACCAAACAAAACTATTTCTGTGGCACTTAAATTTTGCAAAAGAACTACCCTTGTCCTAGTGTTTCACTCTTGATTTACTTGCTTCTTGCTAAAACATATGTCTTTATAACGCTTTCTAGTGGTGCTATAGTTCACATTGTCTTCAGTCCATGGTCATGCATAGCCTTGTAATTCTGCCTGTGGCTGCTCAAATCTATTGTACTCTTCAGTGCTGTCATAGCAGCTGAAGCAGAGGTTGACAGTTTTTTGTATTGGAACTTTTTGATACTCTAGAGCAAATACTTGACACACACAATAGAAAACAAGCTTTTCACTAACTATAGTAGCATAGCACATACAAGAATAAAATACATGAAATATCTTCAGTCCCAAAATCATAAATAAAAATACATATTAAAAGGAGGGGACACTTAGTCCTAGAACACATATTGTAGCCTGTTGGTTTTGGGATGTTTAGCATGTGTAAGCATTACAGAGTCTGAACAGCTTCTTCCTGTACATAGCCAGACAGCTACCCATAATGGATAGTCTCCTCTTTCTAATCTTTTAGCTATGTTTGAGGGTGGGGGAAACCACTAGCTTTTCTCTGGTGTCAATTGATTTGCACTAAAGTAACTGAAAAATAAGCAAGCAGGTAGCCTGCCTTACTGTCCTATTATTGATGGTCTTAATTAAGAAGTCTTTTGGCTTATTATCTCATTTCACTAAACACTGTGCAATCCAAATGGGCTACATTTAAACTTAAAAACAAATCATATTTAGGTATCTGCTCTCTGAGATTGTGATCAGTCCCTTCCTGGCTCTAGTCTACTTCATGAAGAATTCAGCTGTTTGTCATTCAGCAGTGGATGGTGATAAGTTTCAACTCCTTGCATGTTGTTAATTCTTTACAGAAGGAAACTGTAAAAACCAAACTGTTCCTTTTGCAATCTGTCCATTTCTTCCTTTCTGTGCAATAAGCCTCAAAATCGGTGCTGCTTCTGAAGGTTAACCTAGGTTGGCTGTTTCAAGTCTCTTAATTGTATGTCAGACCCTAGTTGTGAAGATCAGATTACAAGTATTAAGTGCTCCCTTAGGAAGTAAAGCAAAAAGGCATTGTGTGTTTAAAAGCTGAGGAGTATGTGGGAGACACATGGTGTACGTTTTAAATTGGCAGCGGCTCAGCTGAGGGTTTTTACTTCAAATGACTCATTCAAATGCCCCTAATCAGAGCTATTCTTATAGCTTCCAGCTGTGTTAGCACCATGCATTGCAACACTTCTTTTCCTCTAAAGCAAGGTTGACGTGGCACAAGAAACCTGAAGTCTAGAGCCCAGTCATAGGATGGTTCAGTGTGTTTGCAGGTAGGAAAGCCTGTTAGTTTTCTCACCTTAGATCACTCTCTTTGGTTAGAGGTAGCCTAACTATTGAATCACTACAGCAAGGGCTATGAATGATGAAGAGTTTTGAAAACCTTTATCCTGTAGTAACATAAACCAGCTGCTGCAGGGTGGTCCTTCTTTCATTTCACCCAAGGCCCAGCCCTGATCCCATTGGTAAATGATGGAAGGAACCCAATTAAATGTTAGGGAGAGGTAAAATTGTATTGCACTTTTGCTAATTTCAAAGTAAGATCTTAGTATCCATATGCAAGCAAATTGTTATTGGGTAAGACTTCCGTTAAGACAGTCTCTTTGACAAGAATAGAGGCCAAATTTCAAGAAGAGTTTCTGCTGTAAGAAACTTTCTTGTAGATTTCCTTTATGGGCAGCTGTGGAAAGCTTAATTTAGACACCTTTTACATCCAAGAATAAAACAATATCAATGTCCAAGAATATGGCCCCGGTTTTGTTGTGGTATGTTTTTTGAGAGAGAGTGCTTTGTTCATTATCTAAAATATAGAAAGCTCAGCCAGATTCTGCAGTAATGGGTACCTCTATCAATGTATGTAATAATGTTAGAGCTGTACTGATCATATCATGTATGCTTTTGCTAATGAGTGTACTGTGGCTGGATATGGAATTATTTTAAAGAGTATTTTAATGTTTGTCTCAATTCTAAGGGGATTCTTGGTCTATTAAAGACCCTTCATTAACAGTCTAATTTTAGAATATGAGCTGTTTTTACAACCTTGTGCTCCTGAATCCTGTGGTTGGTTCATAGTTTAGGGAATATAGCTAATGCAATTAGCCCATAACAAGTAGTTGTCCTCATTCTGTACCTTAATCTTTTGATGTGTACGCTCAAAGAGATAATGAAACCCAAAACTAAAGCTCAACCTATATCAAGAGCGTGATGTAAACTCCCTAACGTGATGCAATTCATAGGTGAGGTTGGAATGTCATAGCTACCCAACTGCTTTTTGCAGTACAAATGGTAGATTAGCAATTGCAGGTGGTCTGAAAGAGTAGATAGTCTCTGGTAAAGGGCAAAGACAAAATCTGCGTATTTGCTTAACTTCCTTGCTGTTTGACATTAAATCACAAACTTCATTAACTTCAGCTTTTACTATGGTGGAAAGACCCTGCTATGATGTGAGGAGACCAAAGTTCCTTCAATCCTACAGCTCCCCCCAAAGTCCTGTAACCATTACAAATCTGTTTTGCCAGCACCTTAAGGCAATGTGTGTTGGAGGAATCGGGCAGTCCTGGAGCTGCCAGATAAAGAGCTGTCCTGCAGCAAGTTACTGAACCTCTTGCCAAACTTCCCTGTCTGTAAAACGGGGATAGTGCTTATTTCCCTACTGCACAAGGATGTGAGAATTTTAAGCAAAGATTATACAATGATTAGAAAACCATAAGGTGCTATGTAAGTGCTGTTTACCCAATTAAAGTGTCATATTCTTTCTACCCTTCCTTTCCTGTCATTCCAGATTAGGAGCTTTCTCCTTAATAATCAGCTTCTTCCATAGGCTTGTTTCACTTAGTGATGGTTAGAGCCTTCCCTTTTCATGACTCTCTGGAGCTGACATTGAAGTTTAAATCAGCCAGAGTAGTAGCAGTGTTTTTGTTACACAAAAACTCCTAGATGTGGCCTCAAAGGGAATCCCATCAGCTCTATCTGCGCTGGCCTTGTGTGTAGCTGTAGTGTGGGAGTATTTTAATCACCTTGTCAAAACCTAAATTGCAACAATTTATTTCAAATCTGTTCGTGCCAACCCCTGTGTGGACACTTAAACTTGAGTTTATAAATTTACCAACACAAACTAACCAGCTATAAACCAAATTTAAATCAGTTTAATGTCATTGTTTTCATCAGTTTAGCATGCCTTTAGTTAAATTGGAACAACTGTGTGTGTAGACCAGGCCTACGCTTGCTCAGAGCAGATCGAGGCAATGCTGTACCAGAACACCAATTGGATGTGGGTGAACTGTTGCACTTACTAGTGCAGCTGTGAAAATGGGAGACTAAGAATGTCAGTTGCAGTTTGGCTATTGCCAGAAGGGAGAGGGGTAACTGGTATGTGTTTGGGGCATAGTGGAAGCCCACAGTAAAAAGCATGAGAAAGGTTAATGTTGGAGAAAGGCATGGGGACAGTTTGTAAAAGCATTTCAAATGTATAGAATTGTTTTTGGCTAGTCCATATCCTTCCCCTTATTGTTAACATACCTGATAGTGATAAAATAGGGAGTCTAGGAGGTCTGTGCACTTGGACTTGATGTACTGACCCTTCTACTTCTGTCACTAGCCTCAACACTAATGCTTTAGCGTTGGAAGTTTCAGTAAGGTTAGCCACTGACAGATGTTTACATTGTGAAATCCTCTATTAAAACTGCTCCCCTGCTTCATTAGTAAGCTCATGAGAGACCAAGGACTGAAACGGTTTTGAGAACAAACTTCCTTCTCCCAAGCCCATCTTATTCTCCCCAGGTTGTGCTCTCAAAGGAATGAGGAATGCTGGTAGAATGCTGTTTGGAGCTTGCTCTGCCACTGTCCCGGTTGTACCCGATATGTGGAACTGAAAGGACTTTGTGCTCCATAAGTGTCAGTCCTTTCACAGGCAGTAACACTTCTCTATAAAGAAAAAGAGGAATTGAATAACTTCTTTTGAATAAGATGTCCTGGAGGTGGTTTTTCTTGCAGAGTGTAAGAGGTTTGTTTGGCCAGTGTGTGGCATGAAAGGAAGCGTTGTTTCAAACTCTGCCCTGATAATGTCTTGAACTCTTCCACCTTGTCAGCTGTGCATTCTAGGGCCCCAGTGAGCGTTAGAATGTGTCTAGCATGGGGGGGAAGAGGAAAAATAGCCTGTCCTGAGATAAGGACTTGATCTAAATCTTAAAATAGAGCCAAAGAACAAAAAGTCCTATTTACATCAAAGCTGGCCTGACCAGGAGGTAGCAGCAGCGCTCTGCTTTGCTCACTGGGGTTTAGAAACTTGAAACGCTCCCAGCTGAGAAGAGCTTAACAGTTGGCACAAGTGAGATACTTATGTTGGCAGCTGATTCGAGAACTTCATGCTGCCTGTATCAACCCAAGGCCCTCTTCCTAATTTGGCTTGAGGTACAGTACATTGCCATGCTGCCTGTGACAATGCCATCTTTTCATTTGAACTATTTAATTTTTTTTTTTTTCCTCCCAGCGTTCAGCATATAATGTAGGTAGATTTCAGAGTAGCAGCCGTGTTAGTCTGTATCTGCAAAAAGAAAAGGAGGACTTATGGCACCTTAGAGACTAACCAATTTATTTGAGCATAAGCTTTCGTGAGCTACAGCTCACTTCATCGGATGCATTCAGCTGTAGCTCACGGAAGCTTATGCTCAAATTGGTTAGTCTCTAAGGTGCCACAAGTCCTCCTTTTCTTTTAATGTAGGTAGAGTTTCCCTTGAGACACTCGATTGGCTGAGGAGGTGAAGTTGATAACTCAGGAGCAAGATAGAGCCCAGCAATGTTCCTGTAAACTTCAGCACTGTGCTCTCAGAGCAAGGAAAAGTACTGCAAACATATATCCTCCTCGTGTGTAAACTGCAGTCAGTATAGTTCCAGCTGCAGATTAGAAGGGCTTTGCAAATTTTTATCAGAAAACTGGTAAGAAATTGCTCTTGAGTATTTTTTCATCTTACAAATCTTGACAAGGTCCTTTATCAATATATAGTCAAACTGGGTTGGAGGGATAACATGGCTTAACGTCTGTTGGGCTCTCTTTTCTGAGCACAAGATTGTAGTATCTAAGGGCACATAATTATCTCTGCCAATCCGCTAGTCAATGGAGTTGTGTAAGATCCAAGCTGAACTTGGCCCGTGTGTGTGTGTGTGTGTGTATCAGTGACATCTACTTGCCAGCATGTCAGGCCTGTTGAAGTGACTGTTGCCCCTCTGGTGGTGGTGGAGGCTTATTGAAGCTATAAGCCCTGGTATAACTCTGGGTATTACCCATTAGTGCAGGTGCTAACTGGCCTGGAACAGCTGGATCTGAATTCCAGACCTGCTGCTGACTGAATGCCCAGAACTATTATCAACTGCAGAACAGAAGGTGGAGATGGTACTCTGATCCTTTCTCCAGCTCTGCAGTAGGGTTTTTAATAGGTGCGTGGGAAGCTAGTTCCAATTAATCTTGCAAAGATTGTTCTGTAGAGGAGAATGTCACACTGCTAAGGTTTGTAAAGTTTTGACTACGCTTCTCCCCCCCCACCACCCTTGTCTCCATTTAAAGTCAAAGTAGTCCAATGTGTGGGCTGAACTGTAACCCAGGTCTGCCACATACCTGTTCTGTGACTGAAGGTGGTACCCAGCCTCTGGACTTAGTTTCCCCATCTGTGAAAAAGCAATAAATACGTCTAGCCTGCCAGGTGTGGCTTGAGGATTGTTGAATGTTAACTCTTCTCTTGCTCCAATGGCAATGCTGATTTATTTTCTTTGCTTATCTCCATACTGGGACGCTTCTGCCAATAACACTCAAACCTTGGGAATGCTGGGAGAGTGTGTGCATGAGAGAGAGAGAGACAGACCGGTTTAACCCTTCTGCTGCTGCATCCTGATTGCTGCCAGACTGTTTCTGGCAGCAGCATCATTTGGAAAGGACTGCAGGAAGCAGGGTGAGCTATTAACCTAGTTTTAGTCCTGGTGATTTACTGTTCAGACTGTAAATTCAGAAAACCTTTCCATAGTAGAAGGTACATCATCCATCATCCGGCCTTACATAGGGGAAGAGACATTTACGATGGCTAACCCTGCTGTTGCTACTAGAATTCTTGGCCTCATATAGGAAATCATGTTCTTGGGCATGTGGCCATTATGTGAAACGAAACATTCCCTCTCACAGGCAAAGAGCCTTCGATCCATGCTCACTCTGGGGAGAAGGAAAAGGGAGTGACCTACCTCCGCCCAGTCCATTCTCGTTGTAGACCAGTGATGAGCGCTCTAGCCCAGGGCTGTATAACACATGCCACTAACGGATAGCTTTGTGTTATATTATCGAGGATGACCACAAGACCAGATAATGGTGGTTGTCATGGGTTATGGGTGCCTCAGAAGGGTACTATGATGATAAATGTCTGGGCAGGTAAGTATTAACCCAACTGAGGTATCGCTCCCCACTGATGCAGCCACTCCCCCTTTTCCTCTGCTCTGTGTAACTTCCCCTCATCATGGGTTGGTTGCACTCATCACCAGCAAGCAGTAGAGAGATTGGGATACTCCAAACTGTCAACACTCCAGGATTTGCAACTGAACAACCCTCAATGCACTTGTTGCTCTCCCCACGGGAAATGCTGCAGCAAGCTAGGCCCAGATTTCATTGTGGCAGGGTAAGGGGTGATCAGAAGTGGTGTCAGCCTGAAAGGTTGCCATGGGTCATCCATTTCTCCTCACACTGGTTGTGGTGTTTTGGGACTGGATGGCTGAAAAGACTGGAGATGGGATATAGAACCCTCCAGCTGGATGCTATAGGGTTAAATCCAGGCCTAGTAGCTCTTTGGCAGTCTGTGAAATGAGTTGGTGGGTTCTTAGGCCAGCTTCTAGTCCAAATCTCCGTCCTCCTCCCACTGGCACTAATTGCCCTATGTGCTGGCAGTCTCCTCAGAGAGGCTGTGGGCTGAATAGACCATAGAGATTTAATTATCCTTTTCCCCTCTGGAGATGCTCCCTGCAGCTCCCCATGCTGCACC